GGGCAAAATTCAAAACAAACAAACCTTTCTGTGAAAAATCTATGAATTTCAAGTTCATGATAAATTTTTAAGAGCTATCTCCGGGTATATGGTTTTGATGGAATGTAAACTGTTTTTGTCATTCGTTTCATCAATACGGCGCAATGACGGGCTGCAATAAAGTTACTTAGCAACCATTGTGAATATTTCTAAAAACTAATTTGACATAAGAGTCGTATTCTTAGATCTATTAAGTCTCTTTTCTCCAATTTACTTAACTTATTCAGGAATAGTAATTTCACATCAACTTCCAGGTAACCCTTTCTTTCAGAAAAACGGGCGAAAAGGCCCATCTCATTGACATCAAAGATGCACGTTTAGCCTGATGTTGATGTTACTTTTCATTCTCGCTTTTTAGAAAATGAAATATTTATTTGCCTTAATAATACAAATTTAAAGCACCTACTGTCCCTCTTGTGAAAGTTCTGTTAATTTTCAGTCTATAATTAATTTTTATCATGTACCTCCAGTTACCACTATTCGGTGGTAAAAGAGTAGCCCAAGAGTTGGCGGTGGGTGGTGATGACTAGCTGCCTTCCCTCTAGTCTTACACTGCTAAATTAGGGACGGCTAGCGCAGATAGCCCTCGTGTAGCTTTGCGCGAAATTCAAAACAAACAAACCTCCAGTTACGTGGTCTTGATGAAATGCAAACGGTTTTCGTTTTAAGCCAATTGGTTTCATTAACACCGCTCAAGGACTGACTGCGATAAGAATAATTAACGACCGTCGTGAACATTTCTAAAAACTATTTTGACATAAGAATGGTATTTTTAGATGTATTGAATAGGTTACACACGGGGCAATGACGGGCTACAATAAAGATTGTTTTGAGACCGTTGTGTACGAGTCTAAAAACAAAGTTTATATTAGAATACTATTTTTAGATCTTTAGTCCTTTTTCTTAAATTTTGGTGAATTCTCTTACAGCGATAACGTTTTTACATCAACCTCCGAATAGCTAGAAACACGGTTTCGATACACGTGGTGGGCAGAGCTATCTATTGTGTAGCTTTGTGCTTAACTACAAACAAATAAACCTCCGAAAAACCCTTTCCTGCATGAAAATGGACGAAACTGCATCACATATGGACAAAATCATGCACGTTTATCTCAACAATAATCTTTCTCTTAATATTCGCATTTTCGAAAAATATATTCTGCACTACATTACTCTTCAAGAGTATCGATTTTCCATGCTGAGATAAATCTATGAATTTAAAATCCATAGGCCTACTATTTTTAACGATCTCTTGTTTTTATTGAATGCAAAATGTGTTTGTGTCTGACCAGCCAGTTGGTTAATTGAAAACAAGAAATTGACGTGGTTGAAAAGAGTATGCATTTTGAAAAAAGTCTTCAACATTAATGCTTGGAGACGGCTTGAATGGGTAATGAAGAAACTCTTTAATATAAGTTTAACATAACAGCAAATGTACAACGTTTTGACAAGGTTTTGTCATCATCATGTACGTTTTCTTCATTACCCATTCAAGCCGTCTCCAACCATTATTAAACTCTAACTCAATAATAAATCATGCTATTGTTGCGTCAGCGAGGTCACGTGACTAATATCACGCCACTTCTTTCTCGAACCTT